TCGTCTTAAAAGATGGGTGGAAGGGATTTGTAAATTAGCCTCGCCGTATACCGAAGGGCGGTTGCCTTGAACTTCTGACTGCTGGATTGCGCGAAGAAGACCTCGATGAATCCATGCTGAGATTTCATCCGTCATGTGACGAGCCAGAAGCCATTATTTGTGAAAAATCGCTGAAAATCATTGAACCAAGAAATATTGGTAGGAAGACTTAGAGAAACGCACCTAGTCCGGAGTCCATTGCATGCATCATCATTTCCAGAGTAGGACCATGGACATGGTACATTCCCAGACGTTTCGCCGGCATCGTAGTCGGCATCATCAGTGAGTCTTGTCATTCTTAGCACCATTCAACAACTCGTCGAAGAGACAAGTGAAGCCAAGCCCTTGCTAAGAATGGCAAGACTCACTGATGATGCCGACTACGATGCAGGCGAAACGTCTGGGAATATTCCATGTCCACGGTCCTACTGTGGAAATGATGATGCATACAATGGACTCCGGACTGGGTACGTTCCTCTAAGTCTTCCTACCAATATGACAATGTTACGAAAAAAAGGTCAAACAACCTCTATACAAAAGGCCACACCATCTTGGTCTTCATACCTTTGAACCAAGAAATGTTGGTCACATGATGGATAAAAGTTCAGCACGAATTCATCGGGTCTTCTTCACAAGGCAAAGCAACCCTGATTTGCTATCAGTTTCGGCCAATTGACGAATCCTTTCCATCCGCTTTTCAAGCAAAATTAAATGTATGCCGTCATCATTCGGTTAAGGGATTCTTTGAAATCCAGTTCCTCTTCATAACCAGATATGAGCTCATTTTTCAAAGTTGTTCTGCACTAGCCGGCGTCTTTCTGGTAAGAGCCCCGAGGCTGGGTCACATGAAGATGGGAGATCGGTGCACTTTCACGATCTACTCCATGCTTGCATGCCAATAGGTGTGATTGCGTTGTCGCCGGCTCACTGTCTGCTGCCACAGGGAGTATGGCTAGCTGGTAAATTCTGTTGTAGATACATTCCAGCGTGCAGTCTGCCAGAGAAATATCGTGTTCGGGGTGAGGGGCGAGGGTAGGCATTGTCGATTACCGTGTCCTCACCTGTGAATCATTGGCAACTGTACATCCAACTGATCCATCGGTCGGGCTAAGAGGCAAAAAAGCTCTCCAATAAAATTGGTTTCTCGCTGTTTTGTGGGCGCCCGAAGCACCGATTCGCCTCACCCCAAGTCGAGGCGACTCCTGTCCGCTGCCTCTTCAGGCGCTGTTCACAGACGAGGGTGGGGAAGAAGCCTACTTTTAATACGGCAACGCGCGTGACTTGGTATGAAGTGGATCTCGACACAAAAGGCAGTGCTACCGAAGCATGTGCCTAGAACTACTCGGAGCCCTTCCATGCCACGGCAGAGTCGGCGTTGGGACTGGAGGATCTGGCGGCAATAAATGTTGCTAAGCCTACCGGCAGAGGCGCATTCTTGTCAGAAATGTGTGCGCACACGCGCAAACACTACAGACAGCTTGACACGCAGCCATAAAAGATACAAGTAGCCACAAATTCATGCCATCTTTGTCACCTCGTGTGTATGTCCAAGTGACTGTTATCTCGTCCCCATGTTTCCGTCTTTGTATGTTTGTCGCCTCCTCTGTCCGTTCGTAGATCCTCATGCTCGTCCCTTGCGTGCACAAGTGTTGGCCTCAAGCAGCAGGGAAGTAGAAGAGGGTCTAGTCATCGCTTTGTGATTTCCTCCACGGTACTAACCGACGGTCAGTCTGCTCAGGAGGTTGATGCAGACGACGCTGGAGCCACATGGAGACCGGCTGCCAAATCGACTCACCCATATTGTCTCTCTCCGGTCAGTCCGGGCAGTGTCGGGCAGTGTCCTCTTGCTTGAGAGTCTGGCAGAAGCAGAGGCATAGACACGAATGCAAGGGTTGTCGGGGCAATACAAGTCGGAGTAGGGGGCAAAACGTGCCATCGTCACCATCCCCCAACCCATTATGGAGATAGCGTCGAATTATGCTCATTAGTTGGGTGGAAGATAAATGAAGCTGTAGACTGTTTTTCAACTTCCTTCCTCCTTGGACTGAACCGACAAACCGTTTTTAAGCCCATCCAAAGCTTGATCATGGGGACGACGTCAACAGGAATGCATTTTTCGACACATTTTATGGTGCATGAATGTGCATGTAGTCAACGGTGCCGTGGTTTTTGGCAAATTTTACGACCTAGATTGGTTGTTGCAGAAATTATGAATAACAATTTATATTGTGTTGATGCGTAGAGAAAGAAGAGAGTGAGGGAGTCTCTGCAACTAGTCAGTCTGGCTTATCCGCACCATTCGCTTTGGCCTAAACTTTAAACCGTAAAGTCATCACTCGAATAACCAGCATTGTCTTTGGGTCGACTTGACACCTGCGGTCACCTTGGCGCCCAGAGGCCAGCTAATGCAAACACCAGATTAGGCATGTAGGTTAATGCCGGGGTGAAACTGGTTTGGCTGGTTATTGGGTTGAGCTGAGGGCCATTTCAAAAACCGCAACTAGCTGAAGAGTCTGAAGTTATATACGAGGAGAAAGGAGGTTTTGATTATTCTTCTGAGATAGCATTTTTGTGAAGAATTTCATTTCGATTGAACGGGCATGATGAAAAGATTCGAAGATTGATCTCACCAGAAGACGACGGCTGACTCCCATTTGGCTGAAGCCGTTTGGATTTAATACGACCTTAGTGTTGACACAGTCCACAAGACATCCTCCCTTCTTTCGGGCGAAAACGGGCTGAGTTTCCTTCGTCATATGACGAGCATCCTCAGAGCTGGGACTCATTCTTGCAATTTTTCAGTAGATTAAATAAATTAGATGTGTTCACCCTGTTTCATTTAAAGAGATAAACTCATCATCATAGGCTGAATCCAGCTCATATATTTAATTAACTGGTAGTCTCGAAAATCTATTTTCAAACGAAAAATAAGTAATCTAGTCGATTGCTATAGCAAATAGAACTTTGCTTCATCGACAATCTAACCACAGAATATGAAAATGCCTAGCCTTCTTTGAATTTCACATCTTCCCCGTGGCCCAAGTGTACCCGTGGCAATGTGGCTTAATGGTTAAGATGTATAGAATGTATGCTGTACTATCTATCAATGTTCGAGTCTCGTTGTGGATGCTGATAAGATCTAGGTGAGGCCGAAACTACAGTCCACCCTGAATAAGAATATCTTTTGGGGAGCAAGGCTATGCGAAATTCAATGAATTGGTAGAAGATTTCAACTACCAGTCTTTCATCACCTTAAACGATATAGGATACACGCATATCATATATCATTCTTGCAAGTCTCACTTAAACACTACGTCAAGAAGGCTCATGGTATCAGCCAACAAATCTCTTCATCATGGCCTTTCATACAAAATGAAAGTCTCCAACACAAAGTTAGCTGCCCTGCGGTGAATTTCGCTTTATCCAAAAAAATGCTGGATATCAGTTTAAACTCTGTTCCATTGTCTATTCCGCAAACTTTATGAGATTCGAACAATCGAGATCCGAGGAGACACATGAGATCAGTCCCAGTGTTTTACATGAAAAGCGATTTCGCTTCCTTATAAATTTAATAGAAAAATTCAGTGAACTATTCGAAACTGGTATACCTTTCAACTAAGTACGAAAAACAGAACTTCCACTAGCCACGAACTCACTTTCGTATCGAGGTTGATGGCATACGCACATTTGGCTTTCGCCACACAATTTCCTCAAAAAACTGTAACCTGTGAAAGACTTACTTGCCCTTGAAAGCCATACATTTCATCCACGATCCGAGTCACTCTGCGCCTGTTCTCATGACCTAGAGACGAGGTTTAAACGGTACTATGAGAACGGCAAAAGAAATTCAATAAAAAACTCAGACCTCTCTTCCCATCTCCCCCGAATCCAATCACCGTTTTTGCTGGGATCTGATCACATATACGTACGCACATTTGACGCCCATATG